GAAAGGCAATAAATATTTCTGTTCTGTATCTGGGGGGAAAAGCAGCTGATGCAGTCTCATCAGATGGTGATGCCGTCACGGACTCACAGATGGTGCCCACTCTTGGCCCCGTGCGGTCCGTGAGGGGGGGGGGCCCTTTCAGCGCGACAGCCCTTCTTGGGTGTCCACTCTCGGGGTTAAGCCCCTCTACCTCCTGGAGCCGCACCACTCTGAGCCTTAGTACATCTGTCTCTCGCCTTGGGCCCTCTCAGGGAGTCCCCTTGCTCTGGCCCCCCAAAGCCTCCACCCCCCCGAAGGGGTTGATGCAACCCTGTTCTCTAGTCCCGAGCGACTCTCAGCCAGCGTAACACAGGAGGGTTTATTGAGAGTTGAACCCAGCACAGGAAACTCTCAGGGCCTCAGGCCTGGCCTCCCTCAGCCCAGCACATCCCAGTCTCTCTGCATTCAGGTGGGCTCTGCCTGCTCCCCCTCTCCAGCCCAGAGCCCCCCTCCCCCCTGCTCCCAGCTGGGCATCTGATACCCCCGGCCCCAAACCCTCCTCTGTCCATTGTCTTCTCTCCACGTAACCAGGGTTGTCTGGGCCTCCTCTCCCCTCTTCCGTCCTCTGGCCCCTCTGGCTGGAACCGGCTGGTCCGGTCACCGGGGTCCTGTCCCTGCAGCCCATTGTCCTCCCACTGGCCACAACCGGCTGCGACTCCTGAGCTGGGCCTCCCGGTCACCCGGTCACTAGTCACTGGGGTCCAGGCCAGTGGCTGGGGTCCCAAGTTCCCTCTCCGGTCCTCTGTAACCACAAACTCCCTCTCCGCTCACCTCGTTAAACCAGTAACACCCAGGGACACTGAGTCCCACCGCCTCTGCATGCCAACCATTGAAAACCAAGGAAAAAACAAGAAAATCCCCCACTTCGTCACATCTGCGAACCCTCTTTCCATGCCACTAGTACCGCTGGGGGAGTCAAACAGCTGCTACCAACGTCAGACTTTGTTAAATCAGCAGAAGACAGTTTGGCGCCCTGGGGCAATTCCGGATACCTGAAGAAAAGCGAACGTTGGGCCAAGATTTAGACAGGGTCAGCAGGCCGACCCCAGAGGCCCATTCCACAATTATAGGTGTCTTAGCCGGACATCCATCCCGGGCAAGTTAATGGAGCAGCTGCTACGGGACTCGCTTAATAAAGCCCTAAAGGCGTGTAACGTAATTAACGCCGCGCAGTTTGGGTTTATGGAGAATAGGGCCTCTCAAACTAACGCGGTAGCGTTTTTTGAGGAGAGGACAGGTTTGGGTGATGACCTGGGGGCGGGGGGAGTGACGCCAAGCCCGGGTCCAGGACACAGAGCCACGGGGGTCGCTGGGGGCAAGCGACCAGCCTGTGTTTTCATATGGCTCCGTGTCAGCATGTCCGTCCGGGACCCAGAGAACGCCGGTCACTCGCACAGGCTGGGAGTCGCTCTCCTGGGCAGCCGGGAAAGATTTGGGGTCGTGGTGGGGACCCAGCCGCACCTGAGCTCCCCGGGCGTCGCTGGGGCCGATGGGCTAACGGGATCTTTGGACACATCAACCGGGGATCCCCGAGTGGGAGCAGAGAGGTGGTTCGGCCTCTGGATCCGGCCTGGGGGCGGATCCTGCGCCCAGCTCTGGTGCCCGCAGTTCCAGGAGGATGTGGCGAAATGGCAGAGGGGCCGGAGAAGAGCCGGGGGGTTGAGTGAAGAGTTAGAAAACCTGCCAGAGGGCGAGAGACGCCAGGAACTCCAGCTGTATCGCTGAGCAGAGACGGCTCAGGGTGGACTCGATCACTGGCTCTAGGGACCGACGTGGGGAACGGGCTCCTCAGGCGAGCAGAGGAAGGTTGAACCCGGCCCCACGGCTGGAGGGTGGAGGGAGACAGATTGGTGGCAGCCGGCGCACGTTTTTGCCAGAGGAATTAACCATTTGTGATGTTATTGACATGAACGGTGACCGTATAGATCATGGTTGCAACCAAAGTCCTATAGTTGCACCAAATCTGGTACAAAGGAGGTCAAGTAAGGTGTCTATGAAAAGGTTGTCGTTTGCTGGTTATGATTATGCTGTCTGTAGGTGTGCATCATTTCTGTATTTGAAGTTATGAGTATTCGCTATGTACGTCTATCTCAATGTGTTTGATTCAAAGTAGCAGCAGTGAAGAATATCAAGACACACTTAACTGACAATGGCCCTTGGGAGACTCCAATCCGCATCTGAGGAGCTTTCATGGGAACATTTGTTTGTCACAGACTCACAGGTCGGGCCCACTCTTGGCCCCGTGCCGTCCGTGGGGGGTGCCCCTTTCAGTGAGACAGCCCTTCTCGGGGGTCCACTCTCGGGGTTAAGCCCCTCTACCTCCTGGAGCCGCACCTCTCTGAGCCTTAGCACGTCTGTCTCTCGCCGTGGGCCCCCTCAGGGAGTCCCCTCGCTCTGGACCCCCGGGGCCTCCACCCCCCGAAGGGGGTGATGCAACCCTGTTCTCTAGCCTGGGGCGACTCTCAGCCAGCGTAAAACAGGAGGGTTTATTGAGCGTTGAACCCAGCACAGGAAACTCTCAGGGCCTCAGGCCTGGCCTCCCTCAGCCCGGCACATCCCAGTCTCCCCTGCATCCAGGTGGGCTCTGCCTGTCCGCGACAACGTTCAAGGTAGCATGTGAGCAATGGTTGCTCTACCTGTAAAGAACTGCGACATGCATGGACATGTGACTCGCCCATGTGACTCCAAACTCCATCTTACGGCTGTGATTTTCCACAGTAAGAACAAAGGGGGGGGGGTGTCCTTCCACATGGCAGAGGATATAAAAGGCCCTGGAATTTCCTCTGTCTTGTTTTCCTTCCTGCTTCTGACCTCCGGAGGAACTTTGCTACAAACTGAAGCTCTGAACGACCCATCCAAGCTGGGATGTTTGTACTCCAGAGACTCGATTGGTTTAAAGCAGCGGTTATCCCGTCAAGCCTGAAACGGGCTTGAACGAAGAACTTCGCGATTGTTGGATGTTTTTGATTCCATTTAACCAATTTTAACTCTCATCGATGTTTTCTTTCTTTTTATGAATGCTTTTCGAGTCTGAAGGACTGGCAACAGCGTGATTTGTGGGTAAGATCTGACTTGTATATTGACCTGGATCTGGGTCCTTTGGGATCAGGAGAAATGTTTTTCTTTTAACTGGGGTGTTGGTTTTCATTCGTCCCCATAAGGAGCGGGGCTGGCGGTGATACAAGGGAACTGGAGTGTCTGAGGGAATTGCTTGTGTGACTTGTGGTTAATCAGTGGGCTGGGACTGAAGTCCTCTCTCTCGGGTTTGTTTTGCCTTAATAGGAAAGGAACTCAAAGCTGCCCTGCTCTAAGCAATTTGACCTGAATTTCATAGAATATCAGGATTGGAAGGGACTTCAGGAGGTCATCTAGTCCAACCCTCTGCCCCAGATCCCTAAATGGCCCTCTCAAGGATTGAACTCCCAACGCTGGGTTTAGCAGGCCAATGCTCAAAGCACTGAGCTATCCCTCCCCTTACTAATTGATACTCTCGGCTGTGTCCCATCAGAAGCCGCTTTGTTTCACCATCGCAACTGTTTAGTGGCAGATCCTTCGCCTAGAAATCATCCGGGGCAGTTCCGGGGCCTAGAGCCGTGTTTCTTGAATGCAGCCACCACAGCGTCCAAGGCCGGGCAGGGGGAGCAGAGCAGCGGCCCCCTCCCTGCAGCGCCCGGCTGTTGCTGCAGAATACCTGGTCCCAAGGGCGGCGCGATGCCCCGCGCCGGTGTTTGCACTGACGGGCCGCGGGAGGCGGGGACAGAGCCGGGTCTGGGCTCCCCCCGCCTGGGCCTCGCTCGCAGTTTCCAGTTGCTGTAGCTACCGGAGCTTGACTGCTCTGGGTTAGGAGATCCAAACGGTCCCGTCTGGCTTTGGAACATATTAATCCAACCCCACTCGCCTCCCAGAGCCGGGGAGAGAACCCAGGAGTCCTGGCTCCGAGCTCACCCTGCTCTAACCACTACGACCCACGTCCCTCCACGAGCCGGGAGAGGAA